TGTCAAACAAATTAAAACAACAATTTCTGAGTAGCTGTACAATGTAAGTTCTGAGGGTCAAGACAGAACTGTGCTTACCATACTGGGGTATTTTTTGAATTAAAGCATGTATTTGAAGTACTTGCTGAGGTTATGTTCATTGAATAAATTTCACACAATCAAATCTTATGGTTCTTCATGATTAATAATTGGATCATCCTCATAATTTGCAAACCAATACATAGGAAAGCATCATCAAAAAATAAGTGCCACATGCAAATTCTTTTCAAATAAAATTGCAAAATGACAGCATCTTCTGACATTATCAGAACTTAATAGTAACAACAGGAAAACACAGGGTAATGTTGTAAAAGTATCAATATCAAGTCCTGGTTCCTTTTCGTAGTGTGATGCGGTTTTATCATGAGGTCCTTAGTTTTTCCATACATTAGACTATATGACTTCTAAGTTCACGTTCACTATCATTTTGTGATTCAGTAACGCTGGAAAATATAGCAAGTACTTAGGATGTAGTTATCATTCAATCGCTAGATGGCAGTAAATGTGCTACTCTGAGGTGCCTCAACTGTTCCGCACACTCAAGGACAGCCTGAAACATACAAGAGGCTATCGCTGTTCCACAGCTTCCTTTCAAAGGCTGGTTAGACTGAGCATCCATCGTGTCCTAAGAAATCACTCCCGAACAGAAGAAAAATAAAATGGCATAGCTCTACAATACTGCAAGAAATACCTTCAAATATTAATTTGAAATATTTTATCTAAGGTAAACAGTTGGTACCTTCCCATGTAAGAGAGAAAAGAGTAAATAAAAAGGTAGACCTAACCTTACACAGAGGCAGAAACAGGCATGTATCTTGTTCACATACATCAAAGGTTTCGGCTTTAAACACAATATTTGAAAAAATTTGTAGCATGAGCTACTAAGAACGTTATATCCATTTGCCAAGTAAGATTGAATTAACCCATTGAAAGTAATGGAACAAGAATCCCATTCCATTACTTTTAATGTGATTGTGTCTGTACATCCCATTCTTCGGAAATGGGGCAGGCTTGCCAGCGTAGTCTCACGTAATGAATGAGAAAAGGAAACGAGAATGCTGTTACATGAATATCTAATCCCATTTCTTGTAAATTGTCCCTGTCCACTGCCACTTGTCATTTAAACTACACACAGCAATGTAGTCACCAAAAGCTGTCCTTCTGTCCATTTAAAGTATATCTGATAGAAATCGAGTACTTTTGTGGATATTATCTGTATTTATGCAAAGTAGAATATACCATGTACTTAAATATATTATATAGTGTATGTGCATACAAATATTTTATAGCCCAGGGTTAATACATGCAACATATTAGTTGAACATTATTACAGAAATTGGCTTTTAGATAGTAAAAGTCATTCCTTATAGGAATTTTGTATTTGCCTGCATTTTATTATAAAAGTTTTATAAGAAACAGGTCACAATAATTTAGATGACATTAAGCTTATCTAATGTAAAAACATTTGCTGCCCAGTACTGTGCTTCAGCACAAGTCCCTTTTATGCATTATATTGAGAGCCATCACTAAAGTGTTTGGAGATAACTGTAAAATAGTGCTCTGGGTCTCAGACCATATCACACTGATTCTCTCCAGAAATAAGCTCAGGTGTTTAATGGTCAGAAAGGCACAAGGGGGGCTGGGGATTTAGCTCAGCGGCAAAGGCGCTTGCCTGGCAAGTGCAAGGTCGTGAGTTCGGTTCCTGGTACCAGAGAAAAACAAAAAAAAAAAAAAAAAAAAAAAAAAAAAGAAAGGCACAAGGCAGGAATTTAGCCCATTGATAAGAGTGGTCAGTATGACTATTTACTCACCATGTTTGTCTCAGACTATTTATTGATCTTTTAATGCAAGCAGGAGTTATGGATGTCCCTCACATATGTTAGCATGTTTAAACCCCATAATATTCATATCCATTTTCAGTTAGTATTTTTACCATATAAAATAGTGAGTAGTGAGGTAGCTAATATTTAGTGACTTGAACTAAAACTTTCTAACGATGATTGGGTGATTGGGATAGTTATATCAGTTTCAAACACTTACAGATTAACACAGTGATTCCAAGGAAAGACTTAGGTACGTAGATGTATGGAAGTACAGATAATAATAAAAATATTTTTGGAATAGGTGATGTTGGGCCGAGGTAAGACAGCTGGGAATGATGGGAACAAAAGACACTATAGCAAACGAGAAAAAAAGAGTACAAAACAAGCAGGTGAACCTAAAGTGTTCATGGATTTGAAGGGCAAAGCAGAAATTAGAGAAATTGTTGGGAAATGAAGGTCCAGACAATCCTTCAAATATGCTGTGCTGCAGTCATGGAGCAAGTAAAGGAATCCTTATAGAGTAAATGAACGGGAATGGAAGATTCAGAGGACATGTAGAGAAAAACATGTAAATAGCACAAACCGTTTTGGTATATTGTGAAGAATTCAGATAAGAGGTCACACATTCGCAAACTCAGGAAAGTAGAAATAGCACAGAGGGTGAAATTTGAGAAATCTGAGAAGAAAGAAAACTTCATGAAAATCTTAACATGAGGATTTTTATTACTGTATGCTTGAGGTACAAAATTAGTGCATTTCTGGGAGGAATTGGTACATACACACAATGCAATTTGCGTCGCTTCACCCTCCGTCCCTCTGGTCTCCCCCATCCTCAGGGCCCTTCTCATGTGAATATTGCCATCAAGCAGGACAATGACCACAGTGTAAAAGTGATAATAAGTTATATTTGCAATATTTGAATTTGAGTATAATTTCTGAGTCCTAAAATCCTGGAGAAAATTTGAGTGTATATATATATATGATATATATAACTATACATAATGATATATATGATATATAACTATATATAATGATATATATGATATATATATAACTATGTATAATGATATATGTGATATATATAACTATATACAATCAATAGTCCTCAAATCATTTCTCAGAATGATGTTATTTTAATTCACAGAATGAGAAAATAGAGTGTGTTAGAAATTGAAATCATTAGGATTCAGAAATTCATTTTTGCCAAAGTAGCAGTAAGAGAAGTTAAGAATCTTATAGGGGAACTTCTAAGTTGCTCAAAGGAAATATTTTTGAGGCTAGTCTAAGAAGAAGTGCAGAAAAGAACAGCTTGCACTGGATTCAGAAAACATAAATAAGAGAAAATAAGTGCCTATCATGACAGTTGAAATGTATTTTCTTAGCCTAGGAAATAAATATTTCATATTGAATTTAAGGTATGTTCAGTAGTCTTGATTTTCTTGTAAGAGTACTGGAGAAAACCTATGTTAAATGTTTTCTATTAATTTGCTCCATGTACCAATTCAGAATATTACTTCTGAAAAAGATGTTCCCCAGTTGAACAGCAAATTGTTGGGAGACGACATCAAATTGCAATGTCAGCATTTATTGGATCCAGTTGCACTGAAATACCTTCAGTAAAACAAGTATTCCCTCGCTGGCTTTGCTAGAGGCAATGTATAACTTGTTATTTATTTACAACTGCCTGAAAATCTAATAATCTCTTCTCAAAACAGCGTTTAACCTTTTTATTTCTTCCAATGGGGAAATGAGTTGTCGATTAGTCTGCTTGACTGCTTATAAATACTATTGTAACTTTTAACCATTTTATCTAAGAACAGTGCTTGTTATATAGAAGATGTTTTAAAATTGGTAATTTTTTTAACTGTATAGAATCATGCATGTTGTTTTTATATCAAATTAAACTGAATAATAAATCACTATTTATTGTTAGTCCCTAATATGCAAATGAATAATGACTCAATTACTAAATGTAAATTGTTAAGTAAATTATTCTTATTTAATATTTACAACAATTCTAGGAAGGAAAAATTATAATTTTATTTTATTAATTTGAAGACCTAGATTTAGAGATATTAAACTATTTGACCAATTAACAAGGTAGAAATGCACAGTAGGTGGAATTTCCTAAAATCTAGTTGGCATCTCCTGAGTCAGTAGCACCCTCGGTGTGGATTACTGCAGCAAGATTTCCTTGGGTTACTCTTGAATTATCTGCAGCAAGATTCTTAAAATACTTATGATAAAGATGCAAGCACTTAACAAACTTTCATATTTTTCTTTTGCACGCTAATATTAAACAAAGAGGACTGTAAGCAATGACTCATCCTGTATAAATACCTAATATTTGAGAAATCCTAATGTTTGAGGAATGCTAATAATTTGAGGAATACCTAATATTTGAGGAATTTAAGCCACTTTATGATTGTTGTTGAGTTCTTTGTTTATAAACTAATGGCTGATTTATTTAGCAAAATTTAATGGTAATCTCTAGGTACAGTATAGAATACTGTGCACCCAATGTTATTTTCTGGTCATTTGCAGTGAACGTCTCACCAAAAGTTGTGAACTATTTTATGTAACCATTAGTATATGAAGAATATGTAATGATTTCACCTGTTGCTGATGAAATTACTTTCTTGAAGTAATGAAAACACTAATACATTAATCGCCTTTATAAATCATTTTGAGATAAAAAAATCTATACTTTAGCATTATGCTATTGTTACTCTTGACCCATTAGAATTTGTAGACATTTAAAAACTCCTTACAGGGGAGGAGAAAATCAACATTGATAGAGATTTTATATTTACTTAGAATTTAGGTCTCTAACATGAAGGTCATGTCATACTTGTTCAGAGCCAGGAGTTATACTTTGCATTAATGCAGCTCATTGTTAAATGTTTAGGACCATCAATTCCTCTGGGGACTAAATCTTCTGAAGTTATTTTTCTATTGACTAGGTTCTCTGTCTGACACCAATAGTGTTGTATTTCTGATGCAGATTTGATTTCATTATGAAAATATTAATTGAAAATCAAAGTAGCCCTTTTATTTCATAGCATTAAGTAGAACTGAGGATCTTGGAGAATGCTATGTTTCACACCTAACAGGAACATATATTTATTATCATCACAGAGCACTTCATTTGGTGGAACTAACAAAGGCAAAGCAAACAGCGATTAACCAAGAGACTGCGTCCCATGTGTTTAATTAGTGATTACCTACTATGACTGTGAGTATGTGCTCCTAGATGGGAAGAAAATCCATTGCTTCTTGATGCTTTTTAATTAGGATTGTGTGTTCAAAGCTGTAATATGTTTAAGGACATGTAATGCAGAACATAGCTACTTTGAAGGTAGGATCTCTTGCTGACATTATGCAATTCCACAAATATTAAGAATGTTCTGTAATATATTTATGAAATCATTTGTAAAGTTACAGTCTCACAGTGCTCTGGGTTTCCAGTTATTTAGGGACCTTTAACCCCTACCATCTCTTTTATGTGCTATTTTTATTTGAAGTTCAAGATGAAAGACTTTTTTAATGTTGCTATCAATCATATTTGAAGACTTTTATGTAATGCTATCCAGTTCAACCAACCTTAAATTAGAAGGCAATTTTTTTAAAGTCTTAATATTTTCTCTAAACCTAGGTTTGATTCCTGGTTTTCTTTGTTGAATTAAGATAATTTTAGGAAGCATTCAAAAAGTATCATCTTTTTTTCATGATATGTGTAATATATTATAGTTTTTCTATTGCATTGAGAATAATAAGTAGAAATGAAAGAGAATAAAGTTTCACTGCATTTAAACTTTCTCTTTATTTAAGTAAAATAGTAAAAAGATTTTGATATACTCATATATTAGTAATAGATGGAGCTACCATAGAACATCCTTTCCAAAATCATTCCTCACATGCAGTTCTTCATGTAATAAATCAGAACACAAAATGTATCTCATTTTCTACAGATAAATCTTAAATACCGTAGAGAAATGAAATGTGTCTGCATTTTGAATATTTGAATTTTGCTAACAGCCACATCAAATACTCTTACACATACCACTGTATGCTTCTTAATCTTATAAAGAACATTTCAGTTTATGCTTTGTAAAATTAAAGCATAAGATTTACTTAATTTGAATGACAACATGAAAGTAAGAATGCAAGGCCCTTTGTGATTCCAACTCATATTAAACACATGTAAATGTGTTCAGTTACATAGATGAATTGGAATTTTGTAATGTCAAAAGTTGAAGAGACATTTTCACAGTGTAGACTCTGGGAAATAGCCCTTTAATTTTTTTTTTTTTTTCTTTTCCAGTAAAGGGAGTCAAACTCATGACCTCATGCTTGCCAGGCAGGCGCTGTGCCGCTCAGCTAAATCCTCAGCCCCTAGCCCTTGAATTTGTCAAGTTCATGTGTAAAGTGGTAGCAACAACAAATATGCAAACTTGAGTGTAAAATGAATCCTTACTGTCAGTATGGCATTTCAGCTTCTTCTGGCTGTGAGGTGTATGATTTGCAAAGGGAACCACGAGACTCCAGACTGAACAGACCAATGAGGTTCAATACCTCTATGAAACATGGACATTATTCCCATGGTTATGGCAACATCAAAGACCATCTCTGGAAGCAGTAGCTGTGCTTATGTAGTGGTTTTGTCACCTAGCAATCTACCAAGAGCTTAAATATGTTTTTGAATGAATTGGAGGGCACTCAAAAAAGATAAAGAAGAGTTCATGTGGGCTGTATTTTTACAGTCCATGAAAAAAACAACAGTTAGAATCTTTACAAGTCAGAAAACCCTAGAATCCAAAAATATCATTGACATCAGAGGCAAACTTTGAATAAATTCAAGGGTAGGAAGGATTTAAATCAGAGAAGTATAAATCCTGCAAAGACTACACATTAGTGCAAATCAGTAAGCCGGCTGATCGGTACCAGTTCAACAATGGCGCTGCTGGGAGTTGGAGTTGGAAAAGACAGGCATGAGCTGCCTCTTTTGTCTGAAATATTTTCCTTCAGATAACAATTTAACTTAGCCCACATTTCCATCTGTGCAAACTGCTTCATCAACAAGGTCTTTCAAACTTTTCGTCAGTGTCACCTTGGATTCCTCCTTAAATGATGCTTTCCCCAAATGGTACTTTATACTTAACGGCCATGCAGATTTTTCTATTTAGTGATCCTGAACTTATAACAAATATGCTGACAGTTTGATTATTATATCAGCCTCTTATGAATTCAGTTATAGTGAGTTAGACTTGTAAACCAAATCAAAAACATGTGAAGCAATATACATTAATATTCCAGCTCTGCACCAACCTGTGAATTTTTGTGGTCCTAGAAAGATACCATAAACTTGTAAATTTCGTGGGTAGATGCATTCTCTATTTCAGTTTGCAAATCTAATTTTAATATCATAAAATAAATATTTTACATTACTCTCAAAATGTTTACTTTTTATCATTTGTCTAATATCTGTTTCATAACACAAACTCGTGCTCTCTGTTCAAGTCAGATTAAGTATTTGAAAGACAGTCAAATAATCTGATCAATTTAGTGATTGCGTTGCTTATCCCTGCTACCAGTAGCAATGTAGAATTGTTTCTTCCCTGTTGACATTGTTTAATGCGCTTTGTTCAGTGAAGTTTAAATTTCTAAAGAGACCTCAAGATTCAGCCTTACAGTTTAAACTAGTTTTTCAGCAAAATGACTGCATTCGTCATGAAGGCAAATAACAGCCTCCAGTATTAAAACAGAGTGGCAGGGAAACTGTGCGATCTTCTGATTCTGCACACCACTGTGGCATGGTCAGCCCAGTGCAGAGCCCTGATACCCACAGGAATAACCAGTGGCTGCAGTCCCTCTCCAACCACTGCATCTATGACAGGGACAAGGTGCCATTTTCCACGCTTGTCTGGGTGTTTCATCTCAGTGTCCACTTGTGCAAGGATTGATGGCTTCGTAAGTGAGTGGAAAGATCAAGCTGCTTTATAATGGTGTGCCAGTCAAATCTCAGACTCCAGTAACATTTTAATGTGAGATTTTGCCCTTGGATGAGCGGCCCTTTCAAATACAAGAGAGAGAGAAAAAATAAAAATCAACATGCAGGCTTTTCAGCTCTCAGGGTGTAAAAGGGAAAGATAGGGGGCCTGAAAATGCACTGATTATCACTGAGCAACTGAGACATTTAAGGGTGACATAATTCTTGAAACATTATACCGGTTGAAAGGATTTGTTCCATTAATTCTTAAACAGTTAACATTTTATATAGAAAAAAGGGTAATTAGCATCAGAATTGTCTTCAATCCCTTGAGAAGCTTTTGGCCTTCATATTGCCTAAAGCTGTGCTACACAAAGGTTACTGTTATTTATTGCTATTCCTTCCATCCTTAATAGGAGTCTATTCAATAAAAATTACCAAGAAGACTTCTGCTGCTTTCTTTAACGTCCTGAAATCAATGACTTGAAATAAGTCCATCTGTTAAAGGCTAAAATAGTTTTTCACAGATATACTTTTGCCCAGATATAAATTGTATTCTGTTAAGAAAAAAGAGCAGTGGCGAATAATGATTTCATTTTAAGGGGAAAAACATTTAAGTAATAAGAATAGGAGAATTGTACCGAGTTCAATCCTCTCATGATGGTAGTAATATATATCCAACTTTAAAAATAGAATTGAAATTCTTAATATGCCATAAGTTTTGTGACCTAATATGATAAGAATTTATTTAGTAGCACATTTAATTATCATTCATGTACCTACAAATAACCCCACAGTTAAATATTTTAATGTGATAGATATTATATTAAGTAATTATGCCTTTGTCTTTTCCTCACTTATAATGAAGCATTTGAAGGAAGAAGCTCATTTCCCATTACCCACCTAACTTTAAGGTAAATGGTCCAATTAATTAATTCCAACAATTACAGGAAGTACATACAACATGACACTATTAAAATAAAATGTGGTAAACAACTAATAGATTTAAAGTTCCATAAATCTTTACAGCTGTCCATAGACAAAAAAATAGATAATAAATGTATACTATTGCATGATGCAATTCATTTTTATACTTTTTAGAAAGGAATTATGTCAGAATTTCTCCCTGATAAAACAAAGGTGTATGATCTCCATTCAAACATTTATCAAGGGATGCAGTGAAAAAGCAATAACCAAGTATATTATAAATATTAAATTTGACAGTTTTTTAACAACTTTCTGTAATTTCAGGGTTAAACACTAATGTTTCTTGTCTTATTTTTCTGTTTGCTTGCTTGATTTTTTAGTTTTGGACAACATCTGGAGTAATGGTAATTGTGCTTCTTAGGGAAATTAGCTTTAATATCAGTTAAAATTAAATTCAAATTACTGAAAACTAGGTAAGTCTCACTTTGAGCACTTCTGTTTTCTATTTATTCCTCAAATTTTAAAAATCTATTATAAAAGATTGATTTATAAAAGATTGATTAATAAAAGATTGATGCATAAAAAATTTTCATGTTTATTTTCAGGTTTAGTTTGTTCTCATGTTACATAAAAAAATTGCTAAAGACATTTCTTTCTGTGTCTATTTAAAAAAATCATTAACATTGTCCTTCTCATTCTTTCCTCAGCCTTATTTTTTAACCCTGACAAAATATTCAATTCTCTTTACTAATGATGAACTATTTCTACAATGATAAGACCATGCTAACTGACATGCATAAATTCCTTAAATCAGAGTTTTTATTTCTAATTCTTGAGGAGACTCGCTAGTTGTATTTGAATTGCATGCCTGTGGAGTCATATTTTTCAAACTGAAACCCAGCTGATATACTGTTCTTTGTTTACAAAGCTCTTTTCCTAAAATAAAGTTCTTCTGAAGCAGCAAAGATCATTCCCTAGACAGATTGCAACTTTGCACCAATCCCCACTAGCATAGAAAACGGTAACATCTGCATTTAAATTACTTACTTATTCAACTCATTTATATAAAAGTCTACTAAACCTAAAATTCAGTTCTGGAACATTGCTCTGAACCTAGAGGATATCCCATTTCATATACTTTCTCCAACAACTTGTCTCTGGTAACTGTCAAACTAATAATCTATACTGTGTGGTATTGCAGCCTCATTCAGATGCAGCATCTTGGAAAGCTTGATAAGAAAATAGGCTGTAAAGGAAGCCTTTCCACACCGGAAGAGGGGAGATCCCATTATTTGAGTCTATCTATCTGTGATCCTTTCAGATCATCTTAACTAAACCGGTTCCCTCGGGCTCCAATGATTGTTTTATGCCATCTGTTCATTTCCAAAATACTATTCATTAAGACTAATTGCTTTAAAACAATTTCAAAATATGTTCTGTGTATTTTTCAGCACATTCAATCCCTTCTATTAATTCAATTGGGCAGCCTCTGTAAAAATATTTCTTCTTTTATTAAAAACGCATTGAAAGTTGCCAATTTATTTAAACAAGTTTTTCGAAGCTATTATTTACACACACCTCTGTTATGTTAGAGAGATATAAAAACAAGAAATTGCAAGGAATACATTATAAAGAGACAGAATCATAAGAAACAGGAAGACAGAATGTCCTAATTTAACAGGAAAGTATGGTAAGTTATTGCTATATTCTAGAGAAAAGGTGCTTTTTACTGAAGTGAAAAAACACAGCAGTAGCAAATTTGTTGAAGATAACACTATGTAATGTAAGAAGCGTTGTTAATTTCCTATCATCTTGTTTGGAAATTCTGTATCATTTTTATTGGTTTTGTGTTGTTTTATTTTCACCTTTGTTGTTGTTATCTTGTTATTGTGTTTTTCTCTTCAACATAAAAACATTAATTTATTAGTGAAGTTAATATGCTTTGAGAAGTGGTTGTTATCTGGATTATATATAATACATATTTATATTTATACATATAGCAATGGTGTAAAAAATGATACTGAAAACATAATTTCAGAGAAAAGGAATATTGTCTATGCATGTATGCAAAGAATAATTTTGGAACGTTTTGAGAAAGCCTACACTATTTATCTATATACTCTTAACACTTAAATGTCAGTAATTCCAGTATTATAATAGTCTTTCTTTTACTTCAATTAAGCCAAGAATTTCCTAGCTCTTAATTATTCTTTACTTTTTGTTTATTATTCACTTGCCTTTTAAGTTTCAAAAAATATCTGTAGTTTTCTTTTTGTTATTGCTATGTTTTTGATTTTTGGAGGGTGAATAATTTTTGACAGTTGAGTAATGGGGTAGGTATAAATCATAATTATTTTGTATTTTAAATTTTATGTCAACACAGATATATTCTTTTAAAAAACTACTTCATTTCTATGACTTTAAAATGTCCTCTGGTACATATTTCATCCAGATATACTATGTCTATTACCATTCTTGCTTTATTAAATTTGTTTTATTGTTATGAAACACTTATCACAAGATTTGCTATTGTAAGATAATAAGTTGATAAATTTTTAGAGATATAGTGGTTATAGTAGATGTCAAAGACTTATTCATCATGCTTAATTGAAACTGTATCAATTAATTAGTAATCCAGCATTTTCTTCTCCTCCTAGTTCCAAACAATTATCATTCTGCTCTTTGACTCTATAAATTCAACTATTTTAGACACTATGTATTAGTAACCAAAATTATGGAATCACACAGTATTTCTCTATCACTGGCTTATTTCACTTAGCAAAATATTCTCATGATTCATATGTGCTAATGTATATTGCAGAGTATCCTTTGATTTTAAGGCTGAATGATATTTATTGTAATGTGGCTAATACTTACAATAAATAAGTACTTATTTATTGTAAGTATTAGCCACATTTGTTCAGTCCACTCATCCTCTGATGAACATTCAGGTTGTTTCCACATCTTGGCTATTGTGAATACTGCTGGTAAGAACAAGACAATGTGAATGGCACTTTTGTTATCTTAAGTATAATTCTTTTAGATAAATACTGTAAAGTGGGGTTTCTGGATCAAATGGTTGTAGCTCTTTAATTTTTGAGAGTCCATATTGTATTCCATGAAGATGGCCCCACGATGCATTCTCATCAGCAGCATCTAGGGTTTGAATGCCTCTATGTCCTCAACTCTTACTTTCTCTTATTTCAGTAATTTGCACTTTGACAGGTTTGAGGTGATCACTCTTTCTTTTTTGGAAGCTTATGCATGAAATCACTGTCAATACCAAAGCCATGAAGCATTTCTTTTCTTTTTTGTTTTCTTTCAGGAAATTTGAAGGTTAGGTCTTATTTTTATATCTTTGATCCATCTTGAGTTGACTTTTATGTTTGGTGAAACAGGAAGGAAATAAAGCTGTGCTTATTTGCAGGGAAAATATTCTTATAGTAGACAGAAAACCTACATACAAAAATATTTAAAGCTTTTAAACAAATTCAACAAAGTTGCAGGATAGAAAACATAAAAATCATAATTTGAAGTTTTTGTTGAGCCACAAAGACTTTAAATAGTCTAATTAACTTTCAGAGAGAAGAACAAGAACGGAAATGGTCATTTGACCTCATGTAACAATCTTTTTAACTGTTAAACACACAATCAAAAATCCTTTTTGCATTTATTTTTATTCTTTTTTTTCTCATTAACTTTACCTGTACAATGATCACAGTCATCATAGGGCATTCCTACCTGTACATGATTGTTATGGTTGATACATTATGTCAACTTGGGGAGTCTAGAGGTTTGGCTAAGTGATTCAGCAGGGAGCCAGGGTGCTTACTTTGTATACATCC